CAGGTCTTGTCTCTGGGTAAGCAATGTGATGGGCAAAACATTTACATGTTCTCTCTTTCCACCCCATTTCTGCATCTTTAAGGTGTCAGGAATATTTCTGTAGCTTTCCAGATGAACGGTATCACCACAGGAGCTGATCGTCATGCTGTGTTTTTGTTCAATTAGTGTTATAGTAAATTTCTGCTAAGCCTGAGTTCAGTTTCCAGCTTTGTAAGACCTTGTATCACGCGTTACTGAACCATGACAGTACTCTTTAAGGGATTCTTCCTTCTGTTCTTTATAGGTTTAAAAACAGCCCTAACTCTTAAAGACAGGTGATGCTTTGCTAGCATCCAAACCCTGTCAGGTTTTCTCCCATTTACGACTTTCCTCAGCCAGCTGGCTGGCATTGTTAGGAAACAAGTGGGGGAGGGAGAGTGCTATGACTGAAGGAAAACTGTTGTCACTTTTGCTTTGTATCACATCAGAAGAACTTATGTTATGGTCCTTTTATATCATAAAGATATGAAAAATTATATTTTTACCTATTTTAAGGTGCGGAAGGTATTTAAAGGTATAGGGGACAATTTTTCTAGCAAGGTTAGAAACAAAGAAAGACAGTTTCTGAATAAATGTGCACTTGCAAGACCCTCCAACCGCCAAGCAGATGATATTTTTTGTAATTAATTAACTGCATAATATCACATTAATCTTAAATTTATTTTTTAAAAATACTGAGGTTGTTTTTACTTCTCTAAATGAATGTTAGGACGAATGTGAGCTTTTGGTCATTAGCTAGAAGTCATGTGTTGCCATTCGCTTCCTTACTAATACTCCTAAAAGCTGTAAACAAACACTTTTGTTATCAGTTTAGCTGTGTTCGAAAGAAGGAAAATATTAAGGAAGGCAAATACAAAAAAAGCTCAGATCTCACAGCCTGTCTATGTCTCTTTTGCAGCTTTAACTCGTCCCAACAAAAGTTTTTGTAGATAAACTCAATAAACTGTGTCTATATGGTTTCTATTGTCATTTCAATGTGATTTTTTTGTTTCAATTAGATATTTTTAGCTCCCTATATTTGTCTCAAAGTTAATTTGTCAGAGCACACGAGGCAGATATTTATTTTCTATTATCAGTTTCAATTAACTATTATAGTCCACCGATGATGAAGACGATGAAGACGACGAAGACGTTTTTTTCCCCCCACACATCTCCTCGGATGATCAAAGAAAATTACTCCTCTGCCATGGCGTAGTAATATAACCAACCAGAGGGTGTCGCAATTCAGTATTATCAGCCGTAGAGTTATCAATGCTGTTTTAAGGTCTGGGCCTGGCAATTAATTAAAACTTCGTTTTTTTGTTTTTTGTTTTTTGGAACGTTGGCGAAGTGGTAGCGTGAGTTTAGCCAAGATAGTGCTGCGGGAAACACTGCAATACTAACATTACATTATCACACCGTACTCTCAGTCACTATGACTTACCCTTCATGTGACTCGAGAGCGCAGACTCGCCCATTGTGAAAAGCTGCACATCTTTTTTTGCAGACTTTACAAGAGGCGACTGGTGGGGTTTGTCCCCGTTTAATCCATAATTTGTATTTTTCATCTTCCAGCCAACGTTCATTGAAACGACAACCTCCCGGCATGGTGCCGTAGTGGTTTCATGGGGGCGGAGTCACACATGGAAATAGAATGGCAGATCGCAGTCACACATAAGCGAGCAGGTTTCATTTTCGGGCTCTCCAACATTTTATTTCTCCATTTAATAAACACGATTCAGTTAGA